ATAAGGGTTTAATATCCCAAATGCATAAAGAACTTATACAACTCAACACCAGAAAAAACAAATAACCCAATTAAAAACTGTGCAGAGGAACTGAATAGACAGTTTTCCGGAGAAGACTTCCAGATAGCCAACAGACACATGAAAAGATGTTCAATATCACTAATCGTCGGGGAAATGTAAATCAAAACCACAATGAGATATGATCTTACACCTGTTAGAATGACTAGAATCAAAAAGACAAGATATAACAAGTGTTGGCAAGCATATGGAGAAAAAAGCACCCTTGTCTATTGTTGGTGGGACTGTAAATGGTGCAGGCATTGTGGGTGGAAACACTTTGGAGGTTCCTCAAGAAGTTAAAAATCGAAATACCATACAATCCAGTAATTTCACGTGGGTATTTACCCAAAGAAAACAAAACAAAAAAACCCCCACTAATTTGAAAATATATATGCACCCCTATGTTTATTGCAGCATTATTTACAATATCCAAGATATGGAAGCAACCCAAGTGTCCATTAATGGATAAAGAAGAAGTGATATATATATAGATATATATATATTTATATATATCACTACTCAGCCATAAAAAAGAATGAGATCTTGCCATATGTGACAACATGGGTGGATCTAGAAGGTATTAGGCCAAGTGAAATGGGTCAGACATACAAAGATAAGTACCATATGATTTCAGTTATATGTGGAGTGTAAAAAACAGAACATATTGCATGGAGTACTGGGTGTTATACGAAAACAATGAATCATGAATCACTACATCAAAAACTAATGATGTGTGGTGACTAACATAACATAATAAAATAAAAAAACAAGTAAAAAAACAAAACAAAAACAAAAACAGAACATAAAAACAACAAAAAAGGGCGCCTGGGTGGCTCAGTTGGTTAAGTGACTGCCTTCGGCTCAGGTCACGATCCTGGAGTCCCGGGATCGAGTCCCGCATCGGGCTCCCTGCTCGGCAGGGAGTCTGCTTTGCCCTCTGACCCTATCCCCTCTCATGTGTTCTCTCTCATTCTCTCTCTCTCAAATAAATAAATAAAATCTTTAAAAAAAAAACAAACAACAAAACAACAAAGAGAGCCATAAATCAGAGAAGAAATTGATAGTTGCCAGAAGGGAGGGAGTGTGGGGCATGGACAAAATGGGTGAGGGGGAGTGGGAGATACAGGCTTACAGTTATGGAATGAATAAGACATGGGGTTAAAATTCCAGCATAGTGAACTTAGTGGTATTATAATAGTGTTGTATGGTGACAGATGGTAGGCACACTTCTGATGAGCACTGTATAGTGAGTGGAATTGCCAAATCATTACGTAAAAACACATAAATAATAACAGAAAATGAAAATATGAGTAAATAACAATATCCTGTATGAATAGCCACATATATCTGAAAACAAGTGATGACTAGTCGAAAAGCACAATGATGGAAAGTTTAAAACTCACTGTCATGTTAAGATAATAAATCTGATGCAGACAAAGAGCAGGTGATGGAAGGAAAATATTCCCCACAATTGCCTGCAAGAGAGAACAAAGTTTAAAAAGATTATAAAATGAGAGGAAGGTTAAGAGACATGGAAGTTAGAGGTATCTGCCCAATTTTAATTTGAGAAGTGGGGAACAGAGATATTCCATAGGATGATGGCTTAATCCTCAGATTCAAAAACTCCAATAAATTCCAAGCGGGGTTAATAAAAGGAAGATCATGCATAGACACAGTATTGTGAAAGTTCGAATACCAAAAACAGAGTGTGATCTCATCATAGTTTCAGACTGTGAGGTGACGTGAGAACCTGGAAGCCAGAAGAACTAGAATAATTTCTTAACAGTATTGAGGGAGAAAAAATCCCAACCAGTTATTGACCCTGAACTATAAACTCAGTAAAAACATCCTTTAGGAGTGAAGGAGAATTTGAAATATTTTAAAATCACTGAAATATTTTTGCACAAAAGAGTTTACCACCGTAGGACTTGTTTCGGTCAGCTATTGCTACATAACAAAGCACCCCAAAACATAACCCCGTGTGTGTCAGCTGGAGCAGCTCTATTTGAGACTGTCTCTGCACATTGACTCTGTTTTCAACTGCAGAGTAGCTTTGCTTCAAGGTCTAGATCCACAGGCTGACTGGAAGTTTTGCTTCCTGTTCCTCTTATTCTTCCAGGACCAATAAACATGGTTTTTCATGGTTAGGGCAGAAGGGTAAGATGGTAAGCCCCTTGAACCAGCATAAGCTTTTGCTGGTACATTAATGCGATGGAAAAGCATATGCACTGAAAATCAATAAACCGGAGCATCAAATCTAAATGTGGATGACTCAGAAACATAATACCAAGCCAAAAAGACAGTCTCAGAAGACCTGGAATGTGTGATTCCATTTATGTGAGTTCAAAAGGGAGGCTACCCATGCAGCTACTATTGGAATGCATATATTTATGGTAACTATCAAGAAAAGCAAAGGAATGATAACCATGAAGTTCAAAATAGTGATTTCATCTGGAGTGGAGGGAGGGTGTGAGGTAAGGAAGTTCAGGCATCGGTAGGTATTATCAATATTGCTGAGTGGTAATAATCTATTTTTTTAATATTTTATTTATTTATTTGAGGGAGAGAGAGAGCACAAGATGGGGGAGGGCCAGAGGAAGAGGCAGACTCCCCACTGAGCAGGGAGCCCGATGCGGGACTTGATCCTGGGACTCCAGGATTATGACCTGAGCCGAAGGCAGATGTTTAAGCAACTGAGCCAAACAGGCGCCCTGGTAATATTCTAATTTTTAATCTGACTGCTATGTAGATGCTTACTTTTTGTTATTAATAGTGTTCTAGATCTTCATGGTTATACGTTTCAACATATAATAAAAGCCAGTTAGAGAAAAAATAGTGAGTGGGTAAGGCAGCCTCAGCCTTCAATTACCTTAGAGAACAGTAGGACAGAGGTTTGCAAGATACCACACATCATGTTCACGACAGATTTAATGAGTTAGATAGTTTCATTTGTCCTGATTAGTTACCTGAAGTTTAGTGAGCTTAAGTGATCGAGTCCCAAGGAGCAAGGCTGGGATCAGAAGCAAGTCTGACCGCTCTCAGGATCCTTGATGTTCTTACCTTTCCTTCCATCTAACCAGTTGAACCATTTCCTATTGCCCTGGATTGTTCGTTCAGCCATAGGTTAAAAATCCCTAAAGAACACAGAGCAGGTCCTGCACTTTTTTTGCGTCTCGTAACTTATATTTAAATTTCTTCTATCTAGCCAAATGTATAACAATACCCCAGGATTTCCCAAACCAAACCAAATAAGAAACCCAAAACATGGAAATCAAAGCCCACGCATGACCGACCGTACATCTGCAAACATTAGGGTGGACAGCATGGTGGTGTACCATGGGGCAATAGCTGTTTTCTTTCATCTTTCTCTCTCAGCAAACAGGTGTTAAGTGTCCTGGAGCGTGCCACAAGAAAAGCTAGCTTTCTATCACAGTCCCTTCTGCAGTGAAGAGGGAGAGAGCTCACTATTGTAGTTGAAATGAAAATGGAATAAAAAAAAATATATTTTAAGCTTTGGACCCTGATGTTTGTCTTCCTAATTTTTAGTAGAACGTCAAGTACATAGTAGTTACAGAAATTGGTGAAAATAACCAGTATTTTTCAGGCCATTTCATTTCAGTGCAATGTGGGAGTTAGAATTCTGGGCCAGAATCTGGGTAGGAAGGTATCTTCATTGATTGGACTCGAGTGGGGCTGGTAGCTGGCTCTGTGACGTGACTTTAGGTGCATCTACTACAATAGCACTCCATATGATTGCCAGACGCTCGCATTCCAGTGCTCGAGCTGTCCCCCAAAAGTTCTCTTACCAGCTTTTTTGGAGATGCTAGCCTCTATTAAACTGACTTGAAATTCCTAATACTTTTTTTTTTTCAAGATTTCAACTTTATTGCCTTATGAGAATGCATTTCTCCCTTTCCACCTGAAATTTTTTTTTGCATTTTTTTAATTTTATTATGTTATGTTAGTCACCATACATTACATCACTAGTTTTTGATGAGTGTTCCATGATTCATTGTTTGCATATAACACCCAGTGCTCCATGCAGAACGTGCCCTCTTTAATACCCATCACCAGGCTAACCCATCCCCTCACCCCCTCCCCTCTAGAACCCTCAGTTTGTTTCTCAGAGTCCATAGTCTCATAGTCCAATCGTCTCCCCCTCCGATTTCCCCCCTTCATTTTTCCCTTCCTACTATCTTCCTCTTTTTTTTTTTTTAACATATAATGTATTATTTGTTTCAGAGATACAGGTCTGTGATTCAACAGTCTTACACAGTTCACAGCGCTAATACTTTTATTATTTTTTGACCCAAAAGTCATCATTTTCAGAGCTTTTGTTAAAACTAAGATAACCATATAATTTATTGTCCAAATCGGAAGTTTTTTGAGAGTGAAATGGGGTTATTAATAATTTTACCAAGAAAATAGCACCTCTGAGACTAATGATATCTTGGTTTGAACTGACTTGCACCTTCTCCAGCTGGTTCCCATTCCAACGTCAATTTGGTCACCTTACCTGGTTGTCACCTGGAAGGCACAGACCATAAATTTATCCTATTCAGCTTCACTCAAGGTTCTTTGAGATTGGCGTACTTTAATTAAATATTTTAAATTTCATTAAAATATTGTTAATAAGAAAATTGGAGGGGAATGTGCACTCGTGTGTGTGTGTGTTAAGTAGAGCAAGATACAATCCCTTGACATATCTCATCATTGGTTGCGTTTCAACAAATTTTGCTTGTACTTGTTCAAAGTAATCATAATCAAGATGCATGTTATTGAATGTATTCCTGGGAACAGAAACTTTTCAGACATTTGTATGCAGACAGATGAGTCATGATGCCGGTCAGGAGAGCTTCCATGCTCAAGAGCTGTTACACATTTGTACGTATGAGGACCCTGTTCCCATCATTTGACCTGCTCTTGTGTTTGCTTTGCAGCATCAATTGCATCCACCTGCAACGATCCAGGTATGCCTCAGAACGGCACCCGCTACGGGGATAGTAGAGAGCCGGGGGATACCATCACCTTCCAGTGTGACCCTGGGTATCAGCTCCAAGGACAAGCTAAAATCACCTGTGTACAGCTGAATAACCGATTCTTCTGGCAACCGGACCCTCCTACTTGCATAGGTATTGAGCAACAGCAATTTTACATTTCGGAATGAATGCGTGTTATCATTAAAATTGCTCCATATATGAGTTATTTCTCCAGAAGTATTTCTGCAGAGTTTCGTACACACCCTCTAGCTCAGAGACTGTATGGAAATTTTATTGTAAACCTTTAAACCTTATTTTATTAGCTGAAGTAAAGAAAGTGGTTTACTTAATGTTCAGTAATTGACGTTTATCTAACATTTCCTATCCTTAACAAATCTTGTAAAAATATGGGTCAGTCAAATTACTGTAATTTAAAATTCTGGGTGGCAGAAAATTCATAACCCTAATATTGCTGGTCTCATTTTTAATATAGAAACATGCCCTTCAGCAAAACCAACTCAATAAAAAGTATTTTCTTTTTTTAGATGGTTCTATAATATTGGTACATTTTAATAGAATCCTGAAAACCAGAAATTATACTGCTTTGGTCAAAATGAAGATAAAAGGAGAAACATGCTTCTGAAATTCACTAGAATTTGATTGTTTGACCTTATTGAAAGGATATCAGTTGGTTTTGCAGACTTTAGTTTGAATAACTATCCTAATAACTGATAACTAAGATATTCTATCAAAAGTATGTTTTTTTAGGACAATATATATTTTTATATAAAATAGTAATTACATGTAGATTGTCCCCTCATTCAATTAAATATTTCACCATAAATAGCTATTTCATCTTATTTTTGAAAGAAACTCTGCTAAACTTTACTATTTTAATGAACTGTCACAGTTTAATTTGTACTTCTTTATGATCTGAAAAATGTAAAATTTAATTAATCTATGGAGAGAAGAAGTGATAATGAAATGATATGCACATAGTTAATACGCCATTTTGCATAGGGTGAACTTGAGGGGATTTTGTGATTTAAAATGATTTTTATTGTCATATACCCAGCAGTAGAGAGATTCTCAGTGGTCCCGTGGAGCTGTGATACGCAGCTCGTAACTTATCACTAAGTACTTCAAGTATATTGTGAAGATGCATGAGATCTGATGGCTCTGCTTATTAGCATGCTCAACCTTGTCAGAAAGCTTCCTGCGTGCGCTTGGTGCTTCGTGCTGAGTTTACATTTTGTTACTTCTGTGGGCGCAGTCCTGCATTTTATTTCAATAGCCACGTCATCTGGAGACTTGCAAGATTTCTGTGTGTTTCTTTTTTAAGGTAGAGTGATTACCTATAAATGCAGCATCATTTCAAACCATCGCTCTATTTTTAAATTGGGAAAGACAGCCCCCCCCCCATTTTGCATGATTTTAAACACATGGAGGATACATTCCAAACCAATGCAACTATCTGTTAAACTCTTAAAGATTATTTCTTAGTTGACATTAATTTAAACACTTGTAAAATTTGACCATCTTCCCAACTCATCTATCATCTTCTGGTAGTTTATATCTAAGTTATATAATTTTGACCAATGATTAGATTTTATTAAGTGAATAATCCAGTTCTCAGCAGAGAAAATAGGCAGTGTTTCCTCTGCCTTGGGCATCAGCCCCAGGGACAGGCTCAACTCACTTGCAGGCAATTGAGTATCAATTATGTTGACAGCCAGGCCCACACACATAGGTATTATGGTGAACAGAAAAATAGAAAATGTGTATTTGGGCATAAATTAATGTTATCTTTTCACTGTAAACATTTCTTTTCCACCAGAAATGAGGCTTATGTCCTCTGTAAGAAACCCATCCATTAGGGCATCAGCTGATCATGTCTTAGCACCCATGTAAATTCTGTTCTGCTGACTTAAGACAGTTTTTAATTTTTTAAAACTTTTTTTTAAGCTTTTTCCTTATTAAAAAATAATACATGTCATTAAGAGAAAAAAAGAGGACAAAAATCTGTCATATTTCTACCTGGAGGCAAATACTATTAACATAAACATGCATAAGTAAGCTTCATAATTATTTTATATATGTCTAATCTATTTTTAAAATGTTTATAAGTGACAGCATCCTGCTTAATTTGTAAATTGCACTTTGACTTACCATACAAAATGAGTATCTTTTTGTGCTACTGTGTATTCTCTGCTAGTTTTTAATGACTACACAGTATCTCTGTGGATCGGCCAACACTGAACGCACGATTCCGTCTTACTCTACACTTAGGTTGCTTCCATCTCCTCTCTACTATGAAGACTGCAGAAATGAACCCTCTTGTTGCAAAACGTATCCACGATTATTTATAAATGACATATTTCTACAAACTTAACATGCTTCCAGGGCTTTTAAAACATTTTTCAAAACTCTTTCGGTATTGTGCGCCAATTTACATTACCAATAGAGCCAAGAGTGAGTGTTTATTTTCTCCAAAGGAGGGGGAAAAATACTACATATTTTTTAATCTCATAATTTGATATGGCCAGAAAGTGATGATTCTTTGATGTTTTAATAGGCATTTTACATTAACATTGAGGTTGAAGGCTTTTTTATTTCATATTCTTCTTGGCCGTTTGAATTTGTTCTTTACCTATTAGCCTACTAATTTCTTTTCCCCCTTTTGTTATTATAGTGTTTTCCTTCCTGTTTTTGTTTCTTTCACTTTTCTGAAATCTCTTAACCTCTCACCTGTTGGTATGTTATTCATATTTCCACCACCTTGTCATTTGCTGCTGATTTTTCTTGTGGATCATTTGGATAGCTCCCTTTCTTCACTTCCCAAAAGACTCCAATGGTGGAGGCACCTCCTTTGGGGGTTTTCAGCTAAGTCTAAAGGACTTGCCTCCAGACCAGAGGACACTCACCACTTTCTAGTTGTGAGTGACAGATAGATAGCTTGCAATCCCTTTTCTCCAAGTCCAACTTATGAAGAGCTCTGAAAAGCAAGAATTTACCTTACGTTTACAGAAATTCATTTTGTGTCCACATCTTGCCCTGATCTACAGGGTGGCTATTTCAAAACTAGTTATGTTGTTTAATGGCATGAACACAGAAATGTTTTGATGCAGAAATAAATGTGGATGTGTCTCATTAAAGAGAACTGCTTCATGCTGTGATGGATGAAGGTGTGACTGTATATATAAAGGAGAGGATCCTAAGGATTTCAAATAGGGCATGGAGGATTGATATGAATTTGTGGTTTTCATCTCTGTGTCCATTCCCTCCGGAGGATTTCCTGGAGCAGCTGAGTCACATTTTGTACTAAATCCTAATGCTATCCAAAATATTTTCGCAAGCTTTCAAATTAAAACCTAATGAAGCTAAAATGAAGAATGCCTGACCCAAAGAGAGAACAAACACAGCAGGACAGTGCTACTTAATTCTACTGGAAGTTTTCAGATAACCTCATTTAGAAATGCCTCCTTGGATCTGTTCGGGATAAGACCCGAATGCCCCTTTGTTTTGCTTAAATCAGTACCTAGTGTCATCCCCCAATTCTTCCTGCTGGCAACACCCTGGTAGCCGATGGCCTGAATCTGTCGTTCTTCATCTTGCAAACCCCGCATGTGGTGGAACGTCCTCAGACCCTGAGGTACCTGTGTGCTCCAACCCCGAGCCACCTGCCACTGTCCGTGCCCGGGCTCTCCACCTGATTCTGTGAGAGGCAGCATCCTGGAAGAGCCGATTAGACAGGGGTCTCAGCCGAGTTTATTAAAATCAAACTGCATGCTGGGGAAATGTGGGTTTAACCATTTCTGTGAATATTATATCATCTTACTCGAGTATATATCTGAATTCATTATAAATATTTCCTACGATACTATGTAGAGTTTGCCTTTAATGAGACTGAAATTTTAACAGAAAGTACTGGAATATATCTTATTGAAAACATTGTTTTCAGGAGTGCTAAATGAGTATTTAAAGACACAGCCATCACAGAAAATTAGCACACACATACCTTCATATGATTTCCAAAAAAGTCATTTGTGTGTGTGTGTGTGTGTGTTTGTGTATAAAAGATTGCCGATTAGGGTATTTCTTTCTCTACTTACCTTTTTTTTTTCCTATATGCATACATGGTCAATTATGTGAAATAAAATATCTAGTTTAGATGGAGTATTTTAATTTAATTGGGCTGATTTCTTAAAGCAACTTGGTGACAAACCTCAGTATTTGATATGGAGAACCGTAAACTTAGCACATTCCTGAATGCATCTGAAATGTATATACTTGTGAATTTTGCAGTGTTTTCACACCTTCCACATGATGGAAGATTTAACAGAAATCCTATGTAATAAATGAAACCATCCTAAACATTTTGAGGTTTAAGAATGGAAATTGGCTTGTCTCTTAACACCGTTGAACTTCATAATTGTTATCTTCCTAATAGAAATGTAAACCCAGGTAATTAAAATGTGATAGGTAAAAAAAAAAAAAAAAAAGAGTAGATTGATCAGCATCATCTATAGTGCTTTTTTCTGATAGTAACATACTGAGCATTGTGATCACATAATATTTTTAGGATTGACATCCTAGCTCCGTCTGCTTTTGGTTCTCTATTCCCAGATGTCATTTACACTTTGTTAGTTTTGTCATTTCTGAATTGTGTCCCAAACCTTACACACATCAGAGGATGGTGAGAAATATGGGGAATAATGTGTATGCGTTCACTTGATGAATATTTCCTGAATACTTGATCAAAAACCATGCCAGGCAATAGTGAAACACAAGTGGGCATGAAGCATGCCTTCTAGAACAAACTGGCAATGACTTTGTGGACTAGCAAGAACAGAAGAATTAGCAGGACCATAAATGATGTTTGTGGGGATTTCTTTCGCCTTCCCGAGTGTTTTTGTGTGTGTATTGTGTGCATCCTAGGAGTGTGGGGGAGTAAAGTAATCTGTAAAGCTTAAGATTATAGCAAGTCAAGTTTATTTGTCAGCAGTTAAAAATCCTCCCTAAAAACAGGATGGCACGTTATGTAGAAATCATGAACAAGTCCATGAAAAATGTACAGCCCTCCTGGGTCTTCAGTTTTCACCTGGAAGATTGTTTAATTCCCCAACACGTAGTGAATGTTCTTGACGAATTACGCGCTGTCTTGCCTCACACTGACCAGCACTGTTCCTCTTCCATGACAGCTGCATGTGGAGGGAACCTGACCGGCCCAGCAGGTGTCATCTTGTCACCGAACTACCCACAGCCATATCCTCCCGGCAAAGAATGTGACTGGAGGATAAAAGTGAATCCAGACTTTGTCATTGCCTTGATTTTCAAAAGGTACCATCTTTTGCAGAATCTCTCTTTGGTAGAATGTGAAGTGTCATACCTATAGAATGTCAAAGTCATACCTACAGAATGTCAAAGTCATGCCTATAGAAT